CCGTTGATAAGCCTGTGTAAAGTAAGAGGAGACAAGTAAAAATAAAAAACAAAATCTAGGTGAATATCACATCAGGAAACACATCAGTAAGTTTTCCCCTTTCACAGATTCTAGCAATTCCAGTATTCTTAACTTCACACTCTCTCCCAAACAAGCTGAAACAATAAAGTGTCCACTATGAACTACGGAAATCAAAATCAACAATTTACCACAATATCACTTATTTAAAAACACATTAGCTTTTTAGCAGGTGCAGCTGCATGTAAGTGATTATCAATTTTCATGCCAAAAAAAGAAAAAAACAAACTGTGAAGAGGTTGCACTTCTGTCATGCTTTTTCTTTCTTTTTTACTCTAATTAAAACATACGGAGATGCCAGCTGCATTCCCAACTTCTCTCTACTGATAGAAACATTATTTCCATGCCAGCAGTTCTGCCTACCATAATGGTTTTTCTATTTTAAACTGAAATTTACATGTTAAAAACGGAGAGAATAGAAAACAAATGCAGCTTTTAGTAATAGATGCTTTGGGAAACATCTCTGCACAACCAAGATCCTAAGACTTGTAAGATGTTAGATCTCAGTAGCTCTTTTCCTACTTAAGAAGCAACTTTTTTCATAGTATGAAAGACTGCAGCAGACAGTGTGCAACCTGGCCAGTAACTGCTGGATTTGGATAAAAATCAAGATAGTGGGCTCACCTGGGGAAAAAGGAAAAGGTGAGACAAAAGAATGTATTTTTTGCAAAGTACCTAGCAGTATCTAGCAGAGCTTTTGTACAGTTTTCACTTGGCAAGAAAGGCATGAAATCCTTTGCCAGGCAAAGTCCAGGAGCGTAGCGGCTGGGAGGAGAAAAGGTCACTGGTTCAGCTGTTCAGAGACACGCTGGAATACATCCCTATTGCCAACAGGGCACGAGCAGAGTTCAACCCTGCTCTCAGACTCACCAATTAGGTTACCATTTCCCCATTTCGCTTAAAATAAAACAACAACGTAACAGCCCCACAGCAGAAGACATCGATTTACATGCCTCAGAAAGTAGCTGGGTGGGAACCAATGCAAATATAGCTTAAGATATGAAACCAAAAGGTGAATAGAATAGAAGATAAAAGCAAGTCAACACATTACAGCTCATCTCAGTCACAAAGACCAGAGCCAGCCTTCAGGCAACCCAACATTTGAAATTTTTTGCACTGGAAATAGATCAACTCCTGTTAATGAGATAACAGTAAAATGAATTATAAGCAGAGGAAATGACAGGCCTTCTAAATACATTATGGTTAAAGCATATTTACACTGGCAGAAGGATCCAGCATGGATTTGCACCACTCCACTGCTTCCACAGTGCATGATCTTATGGTCTCTGTGCGGCCATGATAGAAACGCCTGGTCATGGCAGTTTCATAGCAGCAGCCCGGACTAAGAAGAAAAATTAGGGAAGAGTATCTCATTATCTCAACAAAACTCTTTGCTCTCTCTCTCTCTAAAGGAAAAAGTTCTGTGAAGTTTCCTACACATTAAGCCCAATTATACGTATCAGTAAGCCACTAATTTTCTTAAAATTTTGTATCTAAAAAGAAGCTGCAAGCTTTTGAGGCAAATGACTGAAAAAGCACCAGTACTGTAATCATGTCTTGAAAAGGCTGCACTGTCACGGTTATTTTTTTGCAGATTACAGATCCACCAGTTTCTAGTGTAAATAAGCAGAAACAATGCAAGCTTCAATTTCATTATGTACTTCCAACAACAACAACAGAAACTATCTACATCATCCAACAATTCAAAAAGTGATGAGATACGCTTGAAATAAAAGCATTGGGAAATACCGCTTATGTTTGAAAAGACAAAAGTTCAGATCCTTATCTGTTGCATAACACAATCTATGTAGCTGCTCCGGAGGGTCCCTAGCCTTAGGGAAGTCTACCATTTAATATGTACTTTACATGTCACATAAAAGGGATTTTAAAACAGGCTTTACAGGCTATTTTAGGCAGACAATTAATTTATTCCAGTGTTCTGTGAACTGTGAGAGCTCGTGACCTTTCTTCTGACGAGACTAGCACCCTTAGTGACTAAGCATCATGCTCATATAATGAAACCTTTTTTTCCTGAAGCAAGCAATACTCGCCAGGTCAGTAACAACTCACAGAAGCCACAATCCGTGCTAGCCAGAGAAGAGAAATTTGAGAGCACCATCATCAGGAAGAACGCTGCCTTTTACTGAGAATACAAACCAAAATGACATACCCAAAACAGAGCCAGGCATTTGGATGGTCACTATCTATTATTATCACTCTATTATTCTGCCCCAAACTTCACATCCTATGGTGCTCAAGAAAAAGTGAGAGAGTGAGGTTTGTGAGGCTTTTTACAGGCTTGGAAGACTAACTATTTTGCTGGTGGCTGTAACTGAGCAACTGTTTGGCATTAAAGAATCCTGATCAACTGCGAGTCAGGAATTTACTCAATTATTTACATTCTACTGCTTTAATACACGCTTTCACGGATTGTTTTCTGCCCCCCATTCCACAATATGTGCACGCATAATCCCCATGGGCAGAAGGGCACACTTTTCCTGAATCCTAGGGCACAAGCCCCATAGATTTCAGTGGCACAAAGTAAGGCCCCACCCAATTTTTACAGTAAAGAAACACTACTTCTTCACTCTCATATAACCTCAGCAAACTATGCGGTGGCATTGCAGGGCCTTCTGTATCTCCAGATCCATCCCATTTGTCAAGAATCTAATTTTTTCATTCCTACCCTGAGCAATGCACTCTTCTTACCGGCCATGACATTTGTAATAAGCCAGCTGGAGGGCAAGCTGCACAAATGTATCGGGGTGAAGTTTCTTCTTCCTAATCAATGCTTTTCCAAAGGACGTGAAGGCATAATTCACTAGTTGCAGGTCAGATACCTGTCAAACCACAGCAGGCGTAACTACAGAGGAAGTCAAGAACTGCAAAAATCACAACTCCATTTAAATGAATAAAACACACTCAGCTTCAAAAAGAAAAAAACTGAAACAATGGAACAAATTTATCATGGGTGTAAGTCCCCTGGTTCAAATCAAAAATCACTAGTACACATTCCTCCCTGTTCTCTGGCATTGAGAAAGGCCAGATAAAAACATGCAAATAGAATGAAAATTTCAGTGACAACTAAAAAGAGAAGCAGCAACAAAGTCCACCTTTTTGTAATATGATTCCTTAGCACGTCCAATTTCATTTATAATTTTTTGGTCCACTGTGAATACAAGTTCCTCTGGCCATGGAATATCCCTTACTTTATCTGATCCCTGGGAGGAGGAGGGAGACAGAAAGAAAGAAAGAAAGAAAGAAAACAGAAAACGTTATACATAAGGATGGACACATTAACCACCACATTTGAAAGCTTAGAGAACACATACCTTCCACCTTCCCTCATTTTCAATAATCTTGCCTTCGGCATAAGATAACATGGTAATTAAAGCCATGGCATCCAAAGGGGAATGCTGGAATCACACAAGACAAGACATCACATTTTTTATATAACTGGAAGTGGATCAAATTGCTTTTTTCTGCCTACCCTACTCTTTCTCCTATAGCATTACTGCACTGTGTTGGACTTGTTTTTCTAGTTCTTCTACAATACAGGTAGAACTACTGTAAGTCCACCTACTGTTTTGACTGCTCTGCAGCCAGATAGGGAAACACAAAACAGCACCGCTGCGGAGAAGCAGGCTTCGGGCAGGATGTTGGATCCTGGCCATTCGAGAAGGGTTTTCCGAGACTGAAAACACAGCTCGGCAAACAGGTATGTAATACAAAGAATTAATTTTAATACGCCTTGTGCAATGTATTTCCTCTCTTCGGAACTCCCTCATTAAATACTTTCAGAAATAAGATTATGATTTCACAACTCATGTTCTTAATTCAGGTATGGTATAATAACAAACACTGTAAAAGCAGACTGCTTTTGGAAGTTTGCCAGACAAGGTACCTGGTAAACAAGCCTGTGCTAAAAAGGAATGCATTAAACGCACTAGAAATATTACTCTGAAAGTTTACAGTAAAGAAGCACTTAAAGAAGCACTTGAAAGGTCTATAAGGGGAAAAAAAATTTAACTTACATCACAGAACGCACTACAGGTTCCATTGGAAAAGAATATGCTATTGTAGGATTTATCTCCCCAGCGTATAGTGGGATCACCTGTTAGCCCCAGCCTCGTAACCTAAAGAAAAAGTTACATACCGTGGGTAGAGTAGACTGCCAACACTCTGTCAGTGAAAACAAGCCTATACTAAGATGGTGAGGCTGGTCTGAGAGAGAAGACATTTGTAATCAGCTGAAGACAAAACATGATTATAAGCCTCATGTTTTAAATTAAAAGAGTAGTAAAAAGTTGGTGACTATATTTCTGAAGACCCTGGAGCATGGAGGGCTATCAGATTACGTAGGTAGATTTCATCCATTCTCACTTCCAATAGTCTAACAATTAGAACTACTTGAATATACCTGTGAATCAACAAGAAATACTATCTGCACACTTATCTGCCTCATTTTCTCTGTTCTAGAGCAGCAAGAAGAGCTATTTTACCACAGAAAGAGTATGCACATTTGCAGAAGAAATTCTTATATTACAACCATCCAGGTAAGAATTATCAAAAATCCTTAGCTACCTCAGAGTAGTCTTCAGGAGTTGCATGGGGACTAGAATCATCCAGGCAGACCACAAACAAACTTCTCTGAATTTTTTCCAGAAGAGTCAAATTTTTTGGATCAAGATCAATTAAATATTCACGCATCTGTATGGCATAAAAAGAGAGATCTAAGTGAAATGCCCTATTTCCAGCAATTACAACACTTTTCTGAAAAATCAACTGCTGAATTATTCCAACCTCTGCCCATTTCGTCCTTTCCTCACTTGTTAAGGCTGCCAGTCCTGGTCCGTCTGGTTCACTATGGCATTTTTTCTGGATATATGTAAGTTGCCTGTAAATTAAAAAAAAAAAAAAATAGGGAGATGAGATCACGATCGCTTTTTTTTTTTTAATCTAAGTTTGAAATTTTGTTCTACATTCACAGGCTAATGAGAAGTTTTAGTAAGTTCCATCAGCTCCTGCAGAACCTAAGGGCAGCTGAAGGCCTGCTCCGTTTTCAGTCAAGAATGATTAGTTCAAATTGCAGCTTCCAGCCCAGTACAAACCGACATGTAAACAATTATGACCCTAAAGTATTCTTTATGCATTTAACCCAGTTTCAAACCAGATTAAGACTTCAACAGCACAGCTCAAATTTTCCTTAGCAGCAGACATTTGCAATTCTGCAGCTTTTCTAGCAACTACCTAGATATGAGGGCAAAACTTCAACTCAAAAAAAAAAACCCTGAAATGTATAACAGAACAGTAGTTAAAAGAGTTTATTCTAAATCGAGAGACTGAATGACACAAGAATACTTCTGTTGCTAACTTTTCCTTGCGTTCACACTTTAAAGAGCTGTTAACAGAGTGGATTTTTAGTTTGCAAATCAAATCCTGCACATAGAGTTCTGGATTCCTTTTCCCTTTGTTGTGAAAGACATTCCACAAATTATAGACCTTTAAGAATGCAGACACTAGTCTTGCTTGTTCTGTGTTGTGGCACTCTCGCTCATTAAACTTCATCACTGATTATTACTTAAACAGTTGTCAAAAATATAAGACACTCACGATGAGGTTATCAAAGACAAACAACTGTCCCCCCTATAGATAATAAAGAGCTTTAGGTTTGGGGTATTACTGAGTTAATACATTTTCACAGTTTTTTGTCTGCATTCTGTTTGTTTATTTCTTTGTCACTTGCTTGATCTAACATGTACCACGACAGAAATTAGGACTATAGATTGAAATACGAAATAAGTTGTGCAAGCCTTAAAATACCAGACTTCCCAGAAAAGTGATTTTTGAGGTGCTCTAACTATAGTTTTTCCTTCCCTAAGGAAATTAGTCACCCTGTTAATTTTAACAGACATATTTTTTGTTAATTACAGACAAAAGTCCTCTGTCGCGCTCCAAAAGCGACACTTTCACAAACACAGTAAATTCTTCGTCTAGAAGACGAAACATGTAACCCCTCTCCAGGAAGTAGACGTGTAGAGGTTCTGAACTGATCTGAAGACACTTTACGCTGGAACTGCCTCTGTATAAGTGATATCAGACTCTGGCCAACAGCACAGAAAAGCTTGTGGCTGCAACTGTATTGCCTATTTGAAAAACTGGCACATCCGCATACAATTGTGATTTACTGGGAGACAAGAGAGGTGGCAGAGAAAAGCTGCAAACATCGCTAGTTGCACTAGCAGTACTGAAATTTACCATTTAAAGGGGCAAATTCTTTCTCTCTGCTCCTTGGCAGCATTTCAGGAGTATGAAAGAGGACAAACAAGGCTGGTTATCCCTGGTATGGCACAAAAACAGGAAATGAGAGTGAAATGCTGCTGCACTGCTCTGTAGCTAGTAGAGAGTACTGCCAGTCACTGTATACTAGCATTTCTGTCTCTGCTGCACTCACCAACAGGAAATGCAGCCCTCTAATCCTGTCAACAGTGACCACACCTGTACTAGGTTTGAAATGTAGTCAAAAGGGTAGCAGTGCTTTATCTTTGACAATGATCAAGTAGCAATGAGAATTATCAATATGGATTAGTCTTGAAAGGAATGATGTTACTTATAATCCTGATAGGTCCATGCCAAAAAACTTCACACACAAATCACACTCCCTATCGAAACATCTTCATTTTTGCATGACGTTCTAGGGTATATAACAAAAGCACAAGATTGTCAGGTTTCAAAACAAAAATATGCCATTCACTGATTCAGAATTTACTGAAATCTGAACCTTCAGCTACAGGGGATACAATTTTGGGGGGTGAGGGGAACAGAGAAAAAGAGACCCTCTTTGGTATGTAGCTCAAAAACAACAGCTTAGTTGAAACAGGATAGTCTGAAAACCTGAAAATCTCTGGAGAAGTCAGTATATTGCCTTCATGTACAGCGTCAAAGGCGAACACTCGGCCTCGACACAGGACTATTAAGTGAGACGGGCATTCACCTTCAGTCTCTGAAATGAAGAAAAAACAAAACAAAACAAAATATAAGAACCCAACACTGATGATAAAGTGAGTGACAGATACAGGAAAAAGATCACTCAGTGAGACCTGTAGACCCATTTTTGTTCAACATGAAACAGACTTTATACAGTTAAAAACAGGAACCGAGACCAAAAGAATAACTTTCACAGACCAACTGCATGATTTTAGAGCAGTTTTGAAATTTTTTTTTAAAACTGTCAGGAAAAAAATCTACGGAAGTACATAGCTTTCACTGTTATTAACTACTTCAAGTCATGGTTATAACCTAGTAGTCAGTTATTTGTGCATCTTGTAGGCAGGAACATTCTGCAAAAACAAGTGTTAGTTTCTGAAAGCTGACCAGATTAAGATCATTGCACATTTTTTTTTAAGTAAATATGAATATAATGCAATAAGCATGTCACTGAGACACTGCTCGACTCAGTTGCCCATACAAAAACACGCAGTGCCATGTGACATGCATTTAAGTATCTAAAGCATCTGCTAACCCCCCGGTATAATACAGGACCTATGAAACCTGTGCCCTTCTGAACTCCAGGAAACCTAAAGGAGTCTCAAATGGCACTTATATGTGAGAAACTGAACTGAATCCTTCAGTTCTCACCGTGTTTATGCAGCCAGTTGCAGATATGCAGCTCAAGAACTCAGACAGAAAAACAAGTCAATGGGACTTAATCAGCACACGCAAATCTGTAAAAAGGGAGCGCTGACACACAAATTTGGCCCCTATACAGAAATACAGGTGATGCTGGCCCACACTAGCCACCATCTTGCTTTACCAAATCCACCCATATATAAAGGTAACACTTAAAGAGTAGGAAAAGGTTCTAAGAAAAAACAGATGTTAAAACCCCAGGAAACATGGTTACATTCTTCTCAAATTAAGCTCCTGTGCTATGTGTAGTCTAGCCCAGACCTTTGTCTTGGGAAAAAGGAGAAATGCATGCTGCTTTATTCACAAGCATTCCATTGAATGTATCTCCACAAAAACTTTAATCTTAGACATAAGGTACCTACTTTCCAAATCAGACAATACAAATCTAGACATGTCTGATTTAAGGACAGGGGGAAATCTATTATTTCATGTGAGCTTCATTTTCACAGATCAAGAAGTTATATTCTAACATAAAAAAAACCATAAAGGATGATGATGAATTAGCATACGTTAGGCAGCATCTTCCTAACTTTATCTGTCTAAAGCAAGGAGCAGAATTAAGCATGGAAATTATGATACCTAGAATTAAGTGTCTGACCCACTCAAAACACTTAATGAAATCTAGGAAGCTCTTCATCTGTTTCCATTAAAGCGTGTGCTGCAGGATGAACTAACAGTTCTCTGAGGCACTGATCAGGCTCTATTGCTTTCATTTTAGTGGGATATTCGACATCAAGCCAACATTAGCTGTCAACTTTTAGCTGTCTCGCTCCACAGTTCGAATCCTACTTTATGTGTTCAGACTATGCTAACCCTCTCTATAGCCAAAGAATAGAAAGAGATCCCTCTCCAGCGGGCAATTCCTTCTGCCTATTTTAGATACCTGCATATCTGGATGACCTGAATCATTCTCTGGAGGTATTCATATCTCTCCACCAATCACAGAGAGAACCAAGACAACTAATTGAACTAAATATTTAATCTGGAGGCAGACAATCTACATGGAAATAAATTTCACCTGCTGCATATGACATGTGAAAAGCGATGAAGTAAGATCCTTTAACAAACATCTTAGAATATTTTAAAGCAGAAAAGGGATATGAATGACTTGTATCTCCATAGGATCACAGCTGCTTAATGCTTTGCTTGATAAGTGAAATCATAACAGGATGTTTGGAGTTTTGACCATCTGGATGTTTATTCTATACTCTGGTATTTAAACTGACTCCATTGTAACCTTAAGTTAAAAAAAACTGAAACTTGCCTGCAACCCTCTATCTTCTCATCATGCTCTGTTGTATGGAAGTTTCTTTAAATAACTTATATCGACCAAAGCAATCCCTCTTTCTGCTAGAAGTCCAGAGTTTTGCAGGAATTCACATCTCCCCTGATTCACTAGAGGAATGCTCCTGAAGACCTCTGGATGAATCAGACTATGCGTATGATTTTAGTCAGCTGATTACTAATATTACAAGATTTGTTAGTGGAGGATGAATAAGATCATTACACCTTTTCTCTAGTTCTTGACCCTGTAGCCCAGAGAACTGTTCTGGGAGAGAAAAAGAATCACTGTGGAATACTTTCAAAACCGAAAAGGGAAGTACGTGACCAAGCCATGAAATGGCACGACGACAGAAAATAAGTAGGAAGCATCCCATCAAACTATATGGGAGCATATTCCACAAAAATCACTGTGAGAAGAAAGATGCAACTACAAATGAGGCTGAAATTCTGTCCATTTTATACGTGGAATTCACCCACATCTGTAACACACCGCATTTGTCTTTTTCCAATTCTTAATGCTAGCGCACTTGCTACGGGCATCAGGCTGGTAACATACTATTTGAAGTAAAGTCTTCTTTTAACATTAACTAAATACTAAACATTATACCAAGAAGGGCATTAGTAGGTTAGATTTATTATTTGATTCCCTACATAAGCATTCAAAAACCAGTATCCGACCCAATGCTTCAGAAAGCAAATATTTTATGATTGTAATGACCGTTCCGTTAGCCCCCTAATGGAAAATCATTTGCTTGTATTAACCCACAATTTGCATTTGTTTACCAGTTTTAAAATAATTGCAGATTGAGTCTCTGGTAACTCCAGGAATCTTGCAAGTGCAAAAGAGCATTCGGAATTGGTTCATGTCCAAAATAGCATTCCCAGATCTCTCTGTTGCCACCTTCTCTCTATAGTAAACAAAATACAAAAAAATTAACTAAGTACAACACGCAATAGCTATGCAAGTCAATCAAGGTAAGACAAGCCCATCCTCTATTGCAAAGAATTTATGCCAACGAACACAAACATATTTTCATGACTCAAGTACACGCAGACCATTAAGAAGAAATAATTGATTCTAAACACTGAAGTCTTACGCTCTTAATAGATTCCAGTATTTCAGGGTGTGCCATATATAAACACATGCTCTCTCTATCTGAGTGCCTTCTTTGGCTGGCCAGTAGTTTTCAATAAAGGGGCCAGGGCCTCCAATGTTACAGTATATTTGCGTTGATATGCGAAGATCAAGATAAGCCACATTCAGCCACCAGTCCTCCAGCTGAAAATGAAAAAGGTTTACCATCAGAGTATGTTTTAGGCATAACTAATATTTCGAATAGTAGCTCCTATATAACAGAAGGCAGGACAGCGGTTCAAAAGCTAGTTGCTGAGGGCAATGGCGCATCTAGCCCTTCTCTTTTCAAGTCGCCAAAACAAAACTCAATACTGTTTAAGGCTATTAAAGTGTAAATTTCTACAAAGCGTTCTTCCCTGATACTCACCATCTGCTTAACCACCTATAGATGTCAGTTGTGGCTGCTGTGAATACCAGAGGGACCATTTCATAAAAAATGGAAGGAGAGCAGATCTGTGTGAGTGAGAATCTGGGACAAGGAGTTCATAATTTGTTTTTTTCTATCATGATTTGAAAATCCCTGCTGTGTGCCATGTTAAGATTTACAGAGCTCTCATAAATTCCATTTGATAACAGTCCCCCTTGTATGCCTTTCTCTTCTGAGAGACAGTTTTACAATGCTAATATGTAGATTCATCAGGAAAGGAAAGAAAAAGAACTCAAAATTGCTTTTTTTTTTTTTTGCAGGGGAGGAGGTGATAGAGGAGACAAGAGAAAGCATTTCAACAGCCACCCAGTTAGTCACTCACATTTGAGAATCACTTTTATGAGAAGAGTGTTCATGTTTGCAGGCCGAGTGGCAGATATAATGAAGATTCTAAGACTGAGGATTATATCTAAACGCCTCACAGAATTCGATCCTGAAAAACCAACTTTCCACTTTTTCTCCAAACAGATGCTAATATCTTCTATCCTAGTGAAGCAGATGCAGCAACATATATATCCAACTGATAAATAAGTTAAATTATGATTTCTTAAGTTTGTAAATACATACCCAATTCCTTCTTGTTTTAGCTCTTTCCAGTAATTTCTGATGCAACTCTTTTCCAATCCCATTTTCAAATTTTTTAACTATATCCTCAGTTCTTTGATATTCTTCTTGATTTAGAAATGGCTTCACTGTAAAAAGGAAATGTTTTTAAAGACAACTGCATACTGAGATTTATCCTAAGATTCAGATATTCACAGACAGAGGAGGGGATGAAAGCACCTCTTTAAAAGCTGTAAATAAATCACAGCATGCTCTAATAGGGACACACATTTTTAAACAAACACAAATGTCAGTAAATTAAATCAGTTGCTGAAAATCTTAAATATCTAATAGATAATTAAATCCAGTATATTTAAGATTGTAGCTGGAGATACTGCCACAGAACTCATACTAACTTCCAAACAGAGTTCACATACTTTGAGCCATACGTTTCTGTCACCTTACTGCACCAACTATAAGCCACTTGCTTACATTTTCAAGGCCCTTCACAGTCTACAAGCACTTCGGCCATCAATTCTCATTCACTATCCCAATGTTAATGCCTACCTTTGACTGACACTGATGGCAGTTACTACTATCCCATTTTTATATTTTAAAATACCTTTGGATTTCTCTCAGAACACCTGCCACATGGGCTACAGTTCTCTGTAAACATAGGTAAAATTACTCCTCATTTTCATCCAAAACGCTCCTTAAAACCTTTTTACCACGACATCTATGGTCAGTAACAGTAAGAGGCAATGCTGATCGTCAGTTTGCATACCGACACATCTAATTGTTTCCTTATACTCACTTTGCATATAATGCAAGGTGTTTTCTTTATACCTAGGTTACGAAGTCATAGGCGCATGGCATGGTGTTCTTTTCTTCTGCTTGTTCAACTCCTTCACAACAAGGACTGATTCATTGTTGAGGCTGCCCGGCACTATTACCAGTTGTTTTCTTGTCTGTGCTGCTACAGTGTTAACCCTGAGTGATCTACTTATAGCTGTTAAACAACACGGAAGGGTACTGGTTCAATTTTTACTAATTGTGTATCTGTATCATCTCTAATACAGCTTCCAGGAGTAACAAAAGCCGTTTCAGCTGGGCAGGATCTGAAATACTCACCTACCCTGGTAGAATTAAAACCTGACTTCCTTACAACTATGTCTTACTGCAGTCACAACCACTTGCCTGCAACTCCTTTTTCTTCTTCACAGAATTGCAGAATGGTTGAGGTTCGAAGGGACCTCTGGAGATTGTCTAGTCTAAGCCCCCTGCGCAAAGCAGGGTTAACTAGAGCAGGTTGTCCAGGATTGTCTCCAGTTGGGGAATATCTCCAAGGGTGGAGACTACACAGCCTCTCTGGGGGCAGCCTGTTACAGTGCTTGACCAGCTGCACAGTAAAGAAGTTTTTTTACTATGTTTAAATGGAACTTCCTGTATTCCAATTTGGGCCCATTGCTTCTTGTCCTGTCACTGAGCACCACTCAGAAAAGTCTGGCTCCATCTTCTTTACTCCAGCCCATCCGGTATTTAAACACGTAGGTAAGATTCCCTGGAGCCTCCTCTCCTCCAGGCTGAACAGGTCGAGCTCTCTCAGCCTCTCTTTGTATGACAGATGCTCCAGTCCCTTAATCATCTCTGTGGCCCTTTGCTGGACTCGCTCCAGTAGCGCCATGTCTCTCTTGTACCGGGGAGACCAGAACTGGACACAGTACTCCAGGTGTGGTCTCACCAGCACTGAGTAGAGGGGAAGAATCACCTCCCTCGACCTGCTACTAATGCTCTTCTAAATGCAGCCCAGGATACCCTTGGCCTTCTTGGCCACCAGGACAAATGGCTGACTCATGGGCAACT